AAAGGTTTTTGGTATAAGAGGGAAAAATATAGATTATATAAAAATATGAAATAATAAAATTTTTTATTATAATGAGGAAATATTACTTGTATTGTAAAATACAAGTGTTAGCTTAGAAGTGAAAACTGACTTTTCTTACAAAACATATAGATCGACATATAGGGTGCAGACAATAGAAACAGCACATTTTTACATTTATCTTATTTTAAAATAATTGAGTTTAATCATTTGTTTTAATTTTCAGACTGATTCAGGATTAATCAAATTTCACATTTTGATTGGCTAAAGGTAGCAGGTGACTATCAGATATCTTATGATGTGTTGGCTCTATGAAGCCTTGTGTAATTTTTCTTTTATATTATCTTGATTTTTTATTATACAAATCAACTTTCATTTATAATTGAAAATGTTAATTATGTCAAAATTTATATGAATCTAATAAAAACTCAATTTTCAAAAAAATGTAAAAATGGGCTGTTTCTATTGTCCGCACCCCATATAGTTACAACTTTTTATAATCATCAAAATTTTGTTTCTCAACCTGGTGATTATATCAAGGTCTGACTATACTTACCTTAAACACTTTTTATTTAATGCCTTTAAAAATGATAATATTACTGATATTAATCTTAAAAATGCTTTTCAAAATCCTTTCTTAAAAACAACAAACCTACATATTCTTGCTAAAAGTATAATATACTTTGATATCATACAATTCTTTAATATCTCCATCTCTCAAATTAAATCTAAATATGATCAATCCTATTTGCCACAAGCAGTATAATACATTATCAAAAAACTTCAAATTCCAAAAATTACTACCAATTTTTTCTTCCCATAATTCAAAATACCAGACATACTTAAATTTTTATTCTTTATTGAATAAATCTTTTATCTTCTATTTAACTCAATATTTAACAAATATCACCTTTTTTCTAACAATCAAACTTATACATTTTTATTTACTCAGCAACAATTTACTTAAATAATATTCTTTACAAAAAATATAAATTTTGAAATATACAATTATTTGCCAATAATAAGCATTATTTAGTACATTATAACCTTTTAAAGTAATAATTTATGAAATTGATTCTAGATTTTTAATTTACTAGCAATAATTTAGGCCTACAAAATAGCAAATTTTAAGTTTTTTAAAAGTAATTATATTGTAATAATATTATGATAATTTTATTTATTTATTGGCAATTTATTTTGTAAATAAAAACAAATTCAAAGTTTTTTTTAAAGTAATAATATAATAATATTCTTGTAATTACATTATCAATTTATTAGCAACTTATTTTGAATATAAAAGCAAAATTCAAAGGTTTTTTAGAGTAACAATATAGTAATATTATTGTAATAGTTTTATCAATTTATTTGCAACTTATTTTGAATATAAAAGCAAAATTTATAGTTTTTTTAGAGTAACAATATAGTAATATTATTGTAATAGTTTTATCAATTTATTTGCAATTTATTTTGAATATAAAAGAAAAATTTATAGTTTCTTTAGAGTAACAATAGAGTAATATTTTTGTAATAGTTTTATCAATTTATTGGCACTTTATTTGTATAATTTATTGAAAAATTAGTAATTTAAAATTCTAATTTTCAAATATTATAATTTAAGTTTTAATTTATAACCATAGCACCAAATGTAATCAGCATTTAATATTTTATAGAATACATTCAAATTTAAAAATTACAGCATGGCATAAATAAAATAAAGCGTTACAAAACAAATGTGACTATGCAACACAATTGATAATTGTGACACAAAAACCCAATCACTTACAATTTAAAAATTGTTTTTCATATTTTTGTAAATAAATTATCCACATGAATATATTATATTCATAATTAATTACCCATAATGATGTCCAATTTTGGTAAATCTATTAAATTTTTTGAACATTTCATAACTTATACTAATTGGTAGATTAATTATATGAATGTTACTCAAATCACGTAAAAGCAGGGATGGTAAATGACCTTCAAATGAGCTTCAAATGACCTCAAATGACCCCAAATTTATTATAAATTTTAGTTCGAAATGACCTAGGTCATTTGAAAAAAAGGCAAATGACCTCCAATTTTACCATCCCTGTAAAAGTGACAGTAGGAGCGTAAAATTAGCCATTTAAACCTATTATAATAATCTATTTGCATAATTATAAGGAAATAACTTAGAATTGGGAGTATAAACACTCTCATGGTTGTGTAAAAGTCTAATAGTTATGTAAACTAGCCTTTGAGACATAAATTTTCTAAACTTAAAAATATATTTAAAGACCAAAAGCTAAGCAATAAAGCATCATCCATTCCACCTTCAAAAAATAATAAGTGAATACTTATTTGAAGATTCCCTTGTGAATTGTTGAATTCGAATTGTAACTTTAATAAACGGCTTTAGAAACTTAATTCGATGGCTGAATTGGCTTCTAACTTTGATCAGTCTTATTAAGACTTGAATTCTAGAGCATTAACATACTAGTGAAATCAAATATTGCCATTCATATTGATTATTTGTGGAAATTGTGGCAGAAAAAGACATCCAGTCATCAGAATTACCTCAGAATTTTTATATCACAAAGAACTCCCAGACATTGACATTACCATAATCATTACTTTCACTTTAATCACCCGTATAAAATCACCAAGCATCTAGTATTGATTTTTCGCTCTTTGTGACTAAGTTATCTTAAGAGACTACCGATCCCAACCTATTGTTTAAAATCATCTCAACGTACAACGTTGGAGTTAAATTGGCCTGTTGTTTATACCGTTCTATTTGCATTCCCATTCAATGGTTACAGCACCTGAAATTCATAATTATGCTCAACGAATAGCAAAAAGGTTTCAGAATGTGAGAGAAGATATCGTTAGCAAGACGAAGGGTTTAAAAATGGGTAGATAAAAGAGAAACTTACCCGACTGAATAATGCGATAGCAAAATAAAATGGTGGAAAGAAAACTAACTGTAGCCCTAAATTAAATAATTAGTAAATTGAAAATGTATAAAAGCCACAATAGAATAATTATTAAAATACTTATCCTGATCCTAAAGTAATTAATAAGTAAAATGGTTGCTAGCATATAAGCAATAAGTAAAAGCTAACTCTTTCTATCAATATGAGCTTAAAAAAAAATATAAAATAGAAAATAAATTAATCTTGTTTGTTGCAAATTATTAATAGAAAACGATAAATATATTTTAATAAATAAATATGTCATGCTTGAAGTTGCTGCAGCTAAGAAAATTTTTGTTAAATTTTCTTACATTTTTCTTTTCATATTTTGAGTGTTTTTCTTTTTTCAAAATTGTGAAATTGTGCACAAGTTCGAAATCTAAATTGGGTACTAAACTCTAGTTACTTGAGATTTGGGTTTGAAACCCTTGAAAGTAAAAGTATTGTATATAAATACAATGCTTAAGTTAATAAGAACACCCCTACTTGCCCTTAATAAATAAATAAGTAAATGATGTATCGTATAAATAACCTTCCTTTTAAATATTAACTTCAACAAACCCGTTATTTAATTACTTGAACATCAATTTAGTGTGTATGGTAATTCTTTCCAGTTCGACTACATATCCCAAATATAGAATAGATCAACAACCTTAAAGTTTATGATGCACCTACACTATCTATATATTTAAATCCAATTACTACATGACTTGCAAAAAAATCAATGGATCAATCTACTAACACATTTTACCCACCCAAATCCATGTCTAAAACCTTGAACTAGCTTGGCACCATAAGAGAAATCTCCCTAGGTCATAATATTGCCTGCTTGGAGTTATTATTTCAGGTGCCTGAATTTAACAGAATGCTTTGGAATTCAAGTGTAATACAAATATGAGATGCATTGCAACTTTAAAAATTGATTGAAATGATTTATTCATAGGTCAATTCAGACAATTAAGATAGGTCAAATCTAGCATACATAAAATTCATATTAAATTAATCAACGCCTTATATAAACAAATTTTTTAACAAAAATCAAATTATTAAATCGAATTGTTAATTATTAAATTAAAAAGAATTAAATCATTAAAAAAGAAGGCTCATGTATTTATGTTGTAAACAGGGTTGACAAATAGACCAATTTGACCAATTTGACCAATTTTTTAGCTATTATTAAAAATTGTTAAATTATTATTAAATTATATTTTTAATTAAATTATATTTTATAGTTTTTATAATAATTTATTAAATTTAAATTTAAATGATATTAGCTTTTAATTAAAAAAAATTTTAATAATAGCTAAAAAATTGGTCAAATTGGTCAAATTGGTCTATTTGTCAACCCTGAGTTGTAAAGTAATATAGTCGATTACGTAATTCTAATTACATATAATCATGAAAGTTATCTATATAAATATAAAATTATTTTATATTTTAATTTGATCTTACGCTTAATAATATTGATCAAAATGCCACCTAAAGCATCATCTTCTCATAAGTATATATTGTTTTAGTTTGACTAACTCTGTATAGAAAATTTTCTATTTTAAAAATAATTTATTTTTATGCTTCTTTATATATAGACAAACCAGTTACAAAAAAAACATGAAATGCGAAAAGAAAAATTGATATTACACACATAGAGTCTGATGTTTCTGAACGTTCAAATGATTTACAAAAATCTAAAAGATCACAAAAATCACGAGCGATGGGTAAAGGTAATAATTTTTCTTATACATATTCAGGGTTACAGTATGTGATCAAATTTTTCACCTTTTTTTTTTTTTAAAAAAAAAAGAAAATATTGATCTGGATTTAGATAACTTACAATCTAATACCCAGATAGAACATCATCAGCAAAGTCATTCACCTTCAGCAGAACCACAAAGTAAACAACATTATAATAAAAGTCAAAAAAATCAAGGCAACAAGTCTTCTTAAATTCACGACTCACCAAATCATCATAACAGTATGACATCGTCAGCACATTCACCCTTTGACGCTAATATATATCAAAATAAAATGCCACAAATGAATAGAAGATCCAACATTTCAATTGAATCTGGAATCAATTCTTTTCCTGAGCCACTTGATAGTCAACCCTCCAATAATAGTTATCACCATTATATTGCTGATGAAGATGAATCTTCTTCAGAAGATAAACTTTTTCTTCGCTTGATCAACATTGTAATTCAAGCTCCTTTAAGGAATCGTCATATTCAACCGCCTTCTTAAATATGCAAAATGCACCTTATTCAGCCATCCAGTCAAGTTCGGTAACTTCATCTGTAAACAGTGGTCTTTTTTTTCAAGATGAAGCACATCTTATTCGATGGCTAAAATCACGTAAAGAGATAGTGTTACAGGCTTTAAGCTCAATTTGTTCATCGCCACCTATTATGCCAAATCAGATTCGTTATAATTTATCTATCTTATTTATATTTCATATGTGCAATATAACAATTTAAAATTTAAATACAGTTACGCAGAGAACCATTTATATGATGGTCAGACCCAACGTACAGGGCAGACTATGGAATCCTGCGCAGCTGTGAGAACCGAGCTTGAAACGGCGAACGACCT